AACAACAACAACAACAACAACAACAACAACAACAACGATAACATCAACAGCAATAACATGGCAAAAAACGATGTAACAGTTATTATTGCATCATTTCAAATTTTTAATATTTTAACAGCACTATTTATACGTCATTGGAAGGACAGTTATAAATTTATATATGAAGTATGTATAATAAAGTTTGTCTTTCTACTCTTATTAATTCATATCATTTAATTTATTATCATTTATTGAGATATGCTAATAATAATGATTTATACAATGCGTTGGAAATCGATGATAGTAATAAAACTTTGAGTATAAAATTACTCTATAAGGAAAAGCTAAAAAGTTGATGTATTTTAAATCTCTTCACTGAAAATATTAATCACTGAAAATATTAATCTATTGTTTTTTTCTGCTCAATCTAAGTGCGATACTGATAAAATATCAAAACGATTGTTTTTTTTTCTCGATATATTAAAATGAATCATTAAAAAGATAGCTTTTAGATTCGTATTTTTTAGATGAAATTTTCAAAAATTTTAAACATAAAATTTTCACATAAAATGTATGTAAATAAAACACTCCTCATCATCATTTATTTCTTAATTTTCTCTGCTATATTCATTTCAATGTTTAATTTTTACAGTTATTTATGATTGAAGAAATAATTGATAAGCAATCATTAAGACAAAAGTGCAAAGTGATTAAAGAAAAATGAATAAAATGAAATTAAATGGAGCGAAATGCAGTGAAATGACAAATGAATGAGATAAAAATATTTGAAGCAAAAAGTTTTATTCATAAATTTGAATGAAAGAAAAGAAGGGAAGGAAAAAGTTCATTCGTACATCCCTCTTTTCATGTTTCATTTTATTTCAATCCAAAAAAAAAAAAAAAATGAAATCAATCATTTATAAAAAAAAGGAAGAAATTCTTGGAAAAGACATGAAAAATCGACATCTTCATTAAAAATAAAGTGGAAGCAAACACTTTTTCTCTCTCTTTTCTTTTCTTTACAAAATAATTTGCCTTTATTTTTTAGTTTTTTGTTGAAGAATAATTTATGAGAATTGCTATCACTGTGGGAGAAAAAGGAAAAGCATTTAATTAAATTTAACAATAATAGGAAGGCAAACAAAAATATTTTAAAAGAAAACCTTTTCTTTTTTTAATAAGTGACTTACAAGAAATAATATTACCGATACAGATGAGAAAACAAAGAAACAATTTAGTCAAATTTAAAAATAATAAGCAAATATTTTAAAGCAAAATTCATCCATTTTTATAAAACAACTATAAAATATGCATAAAGGACATTTGCAAATTGACGAAATAACAAACGCAACAAGTCTTCACGTATGAATGTGACACACACATACACACACATACACATACATACAAACACACATACACACACATACACACACATACACAACCATCTTTTTCACTCATATATTTAAAAACGGTAAAATTTTGACGTCAATGAAACCAGAATTTTGAGGAAAAAAAAATTTGTTGAAATCAAATTACTTTCATTTACCATTTTATGAATTATATTTTTCTTAGCAATTAATTTATTTCATTACATGTGCAATTA